TATTTATATCTATATGTTTAGTTTTCTTGCGTGTGTGTGCGAGTTTTTATTAGTGCGAGTTCGAGATTTATATATATATATATATATACATATATATATATATATATATATATATATATATATATATATATATATATATATATATATATATATATATATATATATATATATATATATATATATAATACAGATATCTTCATAGTTACGCATTGTTTGTAGGTCACATGGTTGAGCCATGGTTTACCCTTTAAATTGTACTCAAAAGAGAAATATGCTTTATACTTTTCTGAACCCTAAAAAAAGGCGAAACAAAATGTACCAATATATCATGGACTGGTAATTTGGTAAAGGAACTGAAAAAAAAAAAGGGTACGAACCAAATAATTCGATATTAGAAAAATGGCTTTTTATTATGATTTTTTTTTTTTGGCTAAATTAAAAAGCTATTACAAAAGATATTTTTTACTATGGAACAATCTGGGAGTCGTAGTAAGTGTTAGGATTTGTCGTACTAAAAAAATATTTGCTACGGCCGTCTGCCGTATCAAAGTTTTTGTCACGCTCGTAACTGCTACGGGGCAATTCGTAACAAATGTATAGCAAAAGTCTTTTGCTATAAATTTGATATCTTTTGCTACGATTAATGGTCGCAGAAGCCATTATTTCTACTAGTGACATGAGATTCCAGAAAATATGTACAATATGAAGTGATTTAATTCCAATATTATCTACATGAATTAAATTCATTTTTGCGGTAGACATCTTCAGCAAAAATTGCACTCTATCGAATTGTTTAAGATTTTCTTTTTTTTTCCTTCTTATTATTGTTTATGCTTTCATTTATTTGTATAGAACTCAAGAAAGGCTAAATTTGATATATATTAAATTTTATCGGAACCTATGTGGGGATTGTTGAACTGATTCGTGAGATTTATACAAAGGATATTTTCAGTTGTTTCTTCTGTTTAGTTTGACTGAATTAAAGTCAGATTGAAAAATTTCTTATGGATCAACTAATTACAATTGCAATAGAAGAAAAGTTGAGTCAAGCATTATATGTATATACCAAACGTGTGTTTTAACCTTAATAAGTTTAATCTAAAGTTTTTTTTTTTTCTTATACTATCACAAATAAGCTTGTACCATGTTTTTCACATAATGTCAGGATTGGAATGTACTGTGTTACATATCATTGCAAGTTGCAGCTATAGCCGGTACTAAATTTGGACTTGGATATAAATCAAAAGGAATTAAAATGCTCTACTTTTAGCCAATATTTTCATAACCGGACGGATATAGAACCGGACGACCATTTGGGTCATGGGTTTATATGGGATTTTTTTTAATATGCCATTATTTTATTAATTTTAATGTTTTAAAAATATTATTTTCTTTATATATATTTTTAATATCTCACTTATTATTTTCACTTTTATTTCCTTCACCTCACTTTTTATTATATTTTACTGCTTATACTCTATATTTTTCCATTTTTATTCTTCAAATCCGGCAATCGGCCACCCCTATTCAATCACCCATGATCATATCCGACAATCCTTTGACCACTGATCATGACTAGATCCGGCCACCCACTACAATTCTGTGAAGGTTCGAGACGTTTCGGCCAAAAACCGGGTTCTTTGACTGACTCGTCGGTTGTCGGGTTTTACTCGGTCGAACCGGATTTTGGCCATTTGACCACGGTTTTTGATTTTTCCCGTTTTAGATGTCAGACCGGACCACTTTATTGCCGGGTCACGGTCGAACCGGTCCGACCGGCAACATTGCTTTTAGCTTATATTAATTTAAATTGTCCACTTATTTAAATAAAAGAAATTACAGTAATTGACATTATATCTGGAGTCTGAAATAAAATTGCTTACCAAAACTAACAGTAATCGTGACGAAGAAGTGCACAACTTAGGTATATTAATAAGCAAACAACTTAGTTAAAATAAACTGAAGACAAACGAAAATAAGAATAGATGCATTCCACAATACATACACAACTTATACAGACAATCTAGAAAACTTATTTACATGGCATAGTTACATTAATGAACTTATGAACACAAGTTTAGCAAAAAAAAACATGTATTTCATCTATTTTTAGTTTTTTACTATGAAATTTGGGCTAATTATATATATTAGACAACTTAGAAAGCTTATTTGCATAGTTTAATTACACAACTTAGTTACATTGATGAGCAAAAATTTAGTTAAAATAAACTAAAGATAAAATTAAATCTATGGTGCCTACATCACCAGCAACATTGCCATCACAAGCACCAAACAATTCTTCATATTTTTCCATTTTGGTTTCCATGATTATTAGGTGACGGCGGATGGGAATGAGTGTGACCAAAATTGTATGCGTTTACGTATGTGTTTATGTAGCTATGTGCAGAGGCAAACCCATGGTTTTTTTCTTGGGGACTAGAATATGGGGTTAATCAAGAATTTTTTTTTTTTATGGACTAAAGTGTATAATATTGAAAGTTTGGAAGTGAAAATGCATTAACTAATACATAAATAACTAATAAAAATAAAAAAAAATTGTTAAAAAATTTCTTTTTGGGGGGCGGGGCCACCCCATGGGTAGGCCCCTGGGTACATGATTCTGTATGTGTGTAAATATGTGGTTGTGTGGCAGAGCTTAGGCGATAGCAGCGCGGGAGCAGGGATGGAACAGATTTAATGAAGTGCAATGAGATTGGATGGAATCTGATGGATTGCAGTCAAAATAGACGGAATAAAAACGATACTGAAGAATAAATAACTTTTAGCAAATTACTAAAATTCGATAATTCTAATCTGAAAGAGTATTAGTGTCCATATATATTTAGTAAATTACCCTATTATATGTAATGTACTTTCGAACTAAAGTTGAATTTGAGACATCCATTGGCACATGGGAATATTGACCAAATAGAATTTGGCAATATAATGGTCAAAATTGCCAACACAAAAGGGTCAATGCTTTCAAATGTATACCTAATTCATTAACTTTTCATGTTTTATTCTTGGAATTTTGATATGCCGCTTTAAAACCCAAAAATAGGTTTCAATTTTGCAACATACCAAAAATGACTTTAATTTATACGAATTTATTGGTAGCCATATTCTTGTACAACTTAACCTAGACCCTTAATCATATATGTGGATACTAGTGAAAGTAACGAGCATTATCCCGATAAAATAAATCAGGTGTAGCATCTCATAAACCGTTACTATCACGAGTCTTTTATTAATAGGGTAAATTACAACCACCTTCTTGAAGTATGGTCAACTTACGAAAACCCCCTCTTGTTTGGATAATTACAACCACCTCTCAACTCCTCAAATTTAGTGGAATCTTCGAGATTATATGGAATATTATCACTTTTATACCCGTTTTATCCTATTCGAACTCTGCATTTTGAAGCAAGATAATCATAATATGTGTTTTTTGGCATGTATATATCAGATTGTGGTGCATCAGAAACTGTATTTTTACACAAACGAGTACAAACTAGAGCACATTCCACGAAATCTATATGATTATGTTGAATTTGACAGAATAAGGTGGAAGTGTAAGAAAAAAATCATAGTTGACGGGTAGATGTAATTATCCAAACAAGATGGGTTTTTTTGTAAATTGACCATACATCTGGGGGTGTTTGTAATTTACCCTTTTCTAATAATAAGTTACCAAGCATAATAAAAAGACTACTAAAAAGTTTTTACAAAAATAATTAATTTACAAAAAAAAAATTATAATATACCTCTATTATTTTTGGAATATTCAATTTTGACGAAAATTCAAATAGTGGTTTAATCAGAATTTTGACCCAGAGCAACACATTTACTCCACTTTTCCATTTCCATTACTAGCTGTACCGTGATTTCTTTCAATTCTTTTCTTACACCCAAAAAGCAAAGCAAATGCATGTGGTTTGGTCTACGTACAAGAGAGTAAAAATTTAGACTGAACGAGTAGCTTTACTATTACTACTGTTACGTACTTCACACTTCAGTACTGCAGAGAAGAGAAGAGAGAGGAGAGAGAAAAAAGAGGAGAGTCAGCAGCAACAGTAGTAAGAATGTCAAATTATTAAGCCATCATTACATTATCATTAACTCTGGGCCCCACTGACCCTGACACGTGGCGCGATCGCGATGGAACCGCAGAATGGGACAAGAACCGTCAGATCTGATTGTGGACAGCGACTTATGATCGAGTGTGACTTTTTTTTCTATTTTTTATTGTTTTTTTTTTTAATTTAATTTTTTTTTCCTTGAATGTAATAAAGTAATTCTTTTGCAGTGAGATTGAGTAGCTCGAGGCACTTTTTGCATGGAGAAAGAAAGCTGAGGTTTAAGTGGGCCCCAAAACCTATTTTAATGAAGCAAAAAAATAAAGGAATGCGTTGAAAATAATGCTCCTTTGCAGGGTAAAGTTTTTATTTTTTGGTCCTTGGAGTTTTCACTATCTTCATTGTGACGCAATATTTTTCAGACAATTTGCATTTGGGTCCTTACTTTTTATTTATTTATCATT